AAATGTAATTTACATAGTGCAATTCACATCATCCATCCAGATCTGCCCTGACCCTTCACCATAATGAGCAGAGACAAATGCCTCAATGGCATGCCCACATCCAAGCTGTTTGCAAATGACATTGGCATCTGATAGATCCCAGTTATCATCACAGATGGTGCCCCAGATGCCATGACGATAAAGCTCTACTCTCCCAGCACAGCGGTTTGTTCCATTCACCAACCTCATCTGTCTGCTGCCTGTGGGAAGAAAATCCAGCTGTCAACATGCAACACAACTATAATGCACAGGTCAGCAATAATAATAATTGCATAATAATAAGCATAATAATGGCAATATTTTTAAAGCACTTTTAAGACATCATGTTCTTGTTATATCCCAATTCTACTGCTATGGTTGCTTGGGCAGAAGTCCTCTGAGGCTAAAACTGCATTAAGGGAAAGGCCTACTCCTGCACCAGGTGAATGTTTGAATGATTCCTGTGAGATACTGCAAGCAAGAAGTGTCATACTAAGTATATGCAGAGGTCACCTTATCTTAGAAAGCCAGACAACCTGTTTTCTTTCTCTACTCATTTAGAGACAGATACTGTTCCTGTTACAGATGGGTTACAAAATCAGAAAAGAGTAGAAACTGTTGTAATATTTTGTAGAATAGCTGCAAGTATCTATAAATATAGAAATGTCACAAGATAAAAGCTATTTAATTCTCAAGTGGCAGTAAGAATGCTTGGCAATCATAGTGAAATTAGTGTTCTTATGGCTTCTGTGTTCTAATAGTTCTTTTTGACTCTGGAAGATAATTCTGTAAGAAATTCAGATGAAGAAAGCATTATGTAAATTACATTTGCTTCCTTAACTATCATCAAGGTCAGACTCATGCCGACTTAAGATCTGTGATGCCACAGCACAATGTGGGCTGGATAAACCCTAGGAAACATTCTGTATCTTTCACACAGCAACTCACCTGAACAAATCACACCAACATCTTCAGAAACTCCCATTGGCTCTGTCTGATAATGGGAGGTGTTGCAGAGCATCAGCTGAGTCTCGTTTCCAGTACACTGGACACTCCTTAGGCCAACAACACCCATACCTCGCTCAGACTTTGGAAGGTAATAGGCT